TTACTTAAACTGATTAATGTTTGTCAGCAGCAAGCAAGACGAGCAGTGGGAATTTCTTGAAGAGAACAGATTGGCTTCGGAAGCATATAATTTTTTTACAGCTAACTTTAACCGATGTTCCATAATACATATATGTCAGTTACATAATTGGAACATTGGAACAAAAGTTCAAAAGTTCAAAAGTTCCACATGCTTTAAAAGACCACATTGTAACAAGAGTTTCAGAGACAGCATTACAGCAAAAAATTTAGAGGAACACAAGGATAAACGTGGTTGTGCATAAGATTGGTATTAAGGTCTTACCTCTTTAGTAGCACCTCTTCTGTCGGGAAGCACAAGTGTATTTGCATGGCTTCCTGGTACTATAGTAGATCCTATACTCATTCTGGGTCCAACTAGCATGTACCGCTTCTCTCCTGATCTGTACTGGATGCTGTGACACAGTGTCCCATCATAATTAGTCTCTGGCAGATATTTAGAAGTATAGTCTGTGGATTTGGAGCACTGCATTGCAATCAGCACAATAATGCTGACGAGAAAAAGTACAGAAACTGCACCCAAAGTTATCATGAGGTAAAATATGACATTACTGTCCTCATCATCTTTTGCTGCACTTTTAACATCTGAAGCTGCAAAAGCCTCTTTGGGCTCCACAAGCTTGACAATCACAGTAGCTGTTGCTGAGAGAGAAACGTTGCCGTTGTCTTTGACCAGTATGAGCAGTTTATGCTCAGCCTCGTCTGTCTCTGTGAATGAGCGAAGTGTTCTGATCTGTCCTGTATAGCGGTCCAAAGCAAAGAGACTGTGGTCAGTCACTTCCTGGAGGGAAAAGAGCAACCAGCCGTTATATCCTATATCAGCATCATAAGCTCTGACTTTAGTCACCAAGTGTCCTGCGTTGACGTTTCGGGGAATCTCCTCCACACCTTGAGCAGAACCGTTGGAGCTGAGTGGATACAGGATGACTGGAGCGTTGTCGTTCTGATCCAGGATGAAGACGTTGACTGTGACATTGTTGCTTAATGACGGAGTTCCCGAATCTGAGGCAACAACTTGGAACTGGAAAGTTTTCAGTGTTTCAAAGTCAAAACTTTTTAGTGCTGAAACCGTTCCGTTTGCTTCGTTTATATTTAAAAACGTGGTTATAGTGAGCCCCGGGCTCATACGGACAAGTGAATATGTCACTGCCGCGTTTTCACCTCCATCCGCGTCAGTAGCACTGACTGAGAAAATGGACATTCCTGCCTTGTTATTTTCAAGTACATAAAAGGTATACGGGCTTTCAGTGAAAAGAGGCCTGTTATCGTTAACATCTTGCACCTCTACCTGTATTACCTTCGTTGATGACAAAGTTGGGCTTCCTAAATCCTTAGCTGTTACTGTAATGGTATACATATGCGTTGTTTCCTTATCCAGGTAATCTTTGGTAACCAAAGAGTATGACTGACCGTCAGGGGAGGGCTTCAAATCAAAAGGTAAATGAAGGGGCACGCTGCAAACCACCTGTCCGTTCACACCTGAGTCAAGATCCGTCACACCCATTAATGCCACCACGGTTCCAGGGGGCGCATCTTCTGGAATGCGACTCGAAAAAGATGTGATTTCTATTTCTGGTGGGTTATCATTCACATCTTCCACTCTAATAATTACGCTGCAGAGTGTGGACAGAGCCACAACACCTTTGTCCGTAGCCATTACTTTAATCTCGTAAACTTGGGTTTCCTCGTAGTCCAGGCGTCCTTTCACAACTAGTTTTCCAGTTTTACTATCCAAATCAAACGTATCGGACGAGAGTCCTCTAAGTTTACTCTTTAAAGAATATTCAATCTCACCGTTCAGCCCTTCGTCTGAGTCAGATGCATTTACCGTCAGCAGAAATGTTCCAGCGGGTGCGTTTTCCTTTATTGTTACTGTGTACTTTTGTTTTTCACAGACTGGTGGGTTGTCATTTATGTCTGATACAATTACCGTGACATTCATCTTTCCAGATTTTGATGGTTTTCCTCCATCTGTAGCTGTTAATAGTAACCAATGCTGAGCTGTATGTTCTCTATCCAAAGGTCTTTGTAATACTAGGAACGGAACTTTCCCGTCATCCCCAAATTCCTCTGTTTCCAAACGAAAATGCTGGTACGGATTTAGCTTATATGAATGTAATGAATTCAAACCCACATCTAAATCGTGTGCTCCTTCCAGCTGAAATCGAGACCCCACTAAGGCAGACTCCAGCACCTCCAGTGTGTAATTTTCTTCAGGAAATTTCGGCGAATTGTCATTTACATCGAGGATTTCAACTACGACCTGGTGCATTTCGAGTGGATTTTCTACAACTGCTTTTAAATTCGTGACACATGGGGCAGTTTTTGCACACAGCTCCTCTCTGTCTAATCTCTGGTTCACTAACAAAACTCCATCCCTTGGATTTACCTCGAACAGATCTCGCTTTGTTCCTTGCACAACTCGAAGATTCCTATCAGCCAGTCTCCCAAGATCCAGTCCGAGGTCTTTGGCTACATTTCCAACCGCTGTCCCTGGTTTTAATTCTTCCTGAATGGAGTACCTTATTTGAGCAGAGATTCCTTCTAATTTGGTCAGAATCAGCAGCGCCAGACAAAAGGAAAACCACACATCCTTCCATCGTGCTTTCACGTCCGTGATCTCCATTGTTTGACAAAAGCTTTGTAATTGGCGGTGGAAAAAATCCTTAAACTAGCCTATTTGGGAACTTTTAATTCCCTCGAATGAAAAATAAAGTATAAATGTCTGCGAAAGCCATAATTTTAGCAGCAGGGCGTCTGTTAGGTCGTTCTGTCAAACCGTCTCTTTGGTTGTTACTGAGTATACATATAGAAGAAAAGATGGCCATTCATACGCCATCAGTGTGGTGATATGTAGTGTGATAGCACCACCCGCTGTCACTGTAACGATGCTGCACTGACTATATAACCTATCCCTTTCAATTTAGCCCGAATATTGTTGCTCAAACATTAGCCCACATCAGCATTTTACACAATACTAAATAGAAATTATGAGCTGACACTTTGAATATTTCCTTTTTATTTTTAAAGTGTACAAGCACATTCTGAAGTACAAACTCGAGAGAGTCGAGAGAGGACGTCTCCCCGCCCCAGTTCTTAGGAGTTGAAAGTTTTATTCCCAGTAAGTCCTGAATATAGCCTTGACAGATTTCACCCTCTTGCGTTTCAGTTGACCATCATGGAATAACCAATATTTTCTTGTTATCCCTACATTTAACTGCTCTCAATAAATAATAAGTTGAACTGAGCTTTTCTTCTCATTTTAGATTCTTCTTCCCTTCTAGATTTCTGGCAAACTAAATCTTTTTTGGGAGGAAATCTCCATGCAAACAATAGGAAAACATTCTACAAGGATTGATATGTAATACAAAGTTTTAACTACTTTAGTATGTTGATGTTAAACCTGAACACATTCTCTCTTCTTACACTGCATGCGGCCTTCCAGCACACACCCACAGTCTTTAGTCTATTTCAGATGTGAGCAGTGACATCGCATGGAATCAACCTGCAAGTACAGCTAGGAGTCCATTCACGTGGAACACATTGTTCTTATCTGAAAATAACAGCAGGCTTGCCTCTCTACCGCAGTGCATATAGAAATGCGTGGGGAATTGTAAGAGAAAGAAGAACACAACAATCCTCCTTGCAACAATTAGAAAAGCAAGTGACCATATAGCCTCAGATAGTCGCACCCCTCCCACTTGCTACCCACGTATTGGTTTTGGATTTACGCTAAATATATACGTGCGCGTGCACGAGTGTTGCAGCATTCTGCATCACTTCCTCCCTTTTCAACCTCGATCACCCTCTCTTTGCTGCAGCAGTGATGCAGAGTGTTACAAAGCACATATTTTCTCTCTTTTATTATAAACCCCTGCTAAACGAAGGTTGCAGTTATATTTTCACAGCCAAGCCTGGAAGCTGTGCATGCTTCAGTTGAGGGAGTGGTGCAGTCGTGCGGATATTACATTACAGGCACCTTCACAACTCCAGTGAGCAGGGCAGGTCGCCATGGCAACGCAGCTCTTTTAGGTGGGTCTCTGTCCGTGGTGCTGACAGCAAGCAGGCGCCCTCGCGAGAAGGAGAGGGGGAGGGGTGCGGAAGCTGTGAATTCTGCGGACAATATAAACTGCATCCATGTACTTATTTATATA